CTCTCCTCAATTACTTTTATTTTTAAATCATTAGGAGAAGGTAAAGTGTCTCTAGACTCAATTGCTACACGGAAATTTTCAAATGATGATGATAAGCTGTAAAGTAGCATAATGCTAAGTAAGTCTGAATTGATAATTATGTCCATTTCTTGAAGTTTGTCAACAATCTCCATAAATTTGTTGACATGATCCCTAGCATCTTCTCCATCTTTCATTTTATGAACTATTAACTGCTTTAATAATGTGGCTTTCCTTGCAGGACCAGAACTTTGGTAATTGTTCTGCAGGCAATCCCATACTTCTTTGGATGTTTTGCAGTTTTTTACTAATTTCAATTCACTAGGTGAAATTATCAATATTAGTTCTGATTTAGCTTTAAGATCTTTAACTATCCAGGCATTCTTACCAACTTCATCCTCAGGACATTGGTTCTCCCCAGATACATATTCCATTAGGTTTTGTTGGATTAATATAGCTTCAGCTTGAATTTTCCAAGTGTCATAATTATTTCGTTTCAAAGGTTCAATTCTATAGCCAAAACTCATTTTACTTATTTTTAAGCACAGAATACTGTAAAATGATTATTTTAATATTCCAAATGGCCCATAACCTTTGTTGGTGAAATTAAAGTTAATGAAAGAAAATTTGTTGTAAACTCTTTTATTATCTTACAAACACAACACAACACTGAATTATATTTAGTAAACAACTTCATATGTACAATGTAAAAACATATGATGGTCCATCACTAATCCAGACTAGATGAGTTGGGTTGCAATATTCAACAGTTTTCGACCCCTGAGATATGAACAGAAGAATTTTAAGATTCCTTCAGAAAAACCAAAATAGTTCAATCTCGAAAGCAAAGCCAGATGATCAACTTTGTCGAAGGCCTTCTCGAAGTCGGTGTAGATAACATCAACTTGATTACCACTATCAATAACAGGAATACAAAACTCAGAAAAATTTAACAGATTTGAATTAATGGATTTGCTGGGGAAAAATCCATGCTGTTTTGAAGATAGAAATTTACTGACATGGCTGATCTTTTTATGATGAAGAATTGATTCAAATACTTTAACAGGAGCAGGCAAAATTGATATTGGACGATAATTCTTTATGATGTCTCTTCGGCCCTTTTTGAAAATGGGAATTATTTTAGCTTGCTTCCATTTCGTTGGGAAAACATTGCTGGTGATCGCGAGATTAAAAATAGCTAGAAGCGGTTCAACAAACAAATCTGCACAGGCTTTAAGAATATATGGCGGTATTCCATCTGGACCAAGAGATCTTTTAGGTTTGAGGTTTTTGAGTGCAGAGAGGACATCATGATACGAGACACAGGAGACATTGAGGCACGGGACGCCAGGCAGGGTCGGTGAGCGGAGCGCACGCCGACACAGGTCGTCGCTGCCCAGCTGACAAGGCTCGTACACAGACTTAAAGTAAGTAGCAAACTCGTCCGCTATGGCCCTCCCACCCTCCACAACTCTATCGTCCAATTTCATAACAGTTGGACTGTTATCATTAACTCTAAGACGTTTTACCACACTCCAAAATGTCTGAGGATTGCTCAACACATTGTTTTCTAAATTTGAAATATATTCTTTATAGGCCGATTTAATATTTACTTTAATAGTACTTCTCACCAGTTTGTATTCATTTAATGTTTCAATCATGTTATACTTAATTAGCTTTCTCCTTAGCATGTCTTTTATTTTGATCAAGGATATTATGTTGTGATTAAACCAAACAGGATACTTTGAAATTGATTTTTTAGCTTTTGGAACAAACTTATCAAATACATTATATAATTTAGTATAAAAAAAATCAACAGATAAATTAACATCCTCAATAATTCTAATTTCAGTCCAGTTTATTTTTTTTATTTCATTGTACAAACTTAAAAAATCGGCCTTTTTAAAATTATAGAAATAACCATTTTGATTAGGTTCTAGATCGTGATGAATACCCTTACAATCAAAACTGATAACTAAACTTGTGTTGTCACTCTCAAAAATGCAGCCAGGGAAGTGAGTTTCAAGGAGAAGTTTAAGACTTCCACCAACCCCGGTTGTGTATTGCCCTCCTGGTACCTTAAGAAATCCCAAGAGTACAATAGGTTTGGACGCTAGAACCTGCTGGAGGCGGGCCGCAGCACTGAGACTGTTCACCTCCTGTGTAAACTGTATCCATGAATTTTGTTTGGCTTTTTCTGTTTTTGACTTTTTCCATTGCAAGGCTGTATTCTGTGTGTGCCCTTTTATATGGCTTCCACATACGGCTCCGTTTGCATTGGTTGAATAGTTTCCTGACTCCTGCCCTCATGCGACTCAAATCCGCAGTCCACCATCTAGTGCTGGTACTGTGTTTTCTCTGTTGGCGTGGTGTGTGTTGACGTCACAACCTAGGAGTGGTTGTTGATCACCAGTGCTGGTTGCTTCCACCAAGAGCTCGAGTTCTCTCGATGTAGGTAGTTCCCTAGAGTCGTATGGCAGGTAAACTGAGCCTACCATTGTGCTCCATTCCCTGCCACCATTTCTCCAGGTTATTGACACCGCAGTGAGATCTCTGGAGCAAAATTTGTTTATGTTTAGAAAGTTCAAACCTTTTCTCACGAGAATGCATGTTCTGACATTACTTAAAGAAGTGCAGTAAACTAACTCACCCTTTGTTTCTCCCAGACCTGCAACTCTTCCTTGGTGCAGCCATAGTTCTTGAATGAGTGCCAGGTCAAACCCTTCTTTGAGGAAGAACCGGCAGAGGCAGCCCTGTTATGCTGTAGGTTGATCTGGAGGACCCTGAGCATCGTCCTTAACCGGAGTTGTGACAAATGAGACCGGCCAGAAGCCTAGATTGGCTCTCAAGTTGGTGGACTGCACAGCCTGGAAACAGACCTCATCCAGGAAACAGACGAATCCGTACCCTTTCGGATCTGGTTTGGCCGGCAGTATCTTCCACTCCTTGACATTGAGAGTGGGGTTTTGCATCGTGAACATCTCAATGACTTTTTCTGGAGTTTTCTTCAACAGCTTAGGATGTGCTCTGAAGAATTCCCTCGTGGATTTCAGGATGTCCTCCTCTAATGGCTTGAGAGCTGGGATCAGTCCCTCCACATCGCTTGGTTGCGTCACTGAGGCAGACAATGATAAGGTTACCTTTTTCTATGTAGATTCCTGCAAACGCTGGACTTGAACTATCCTCTAAGGGCTGTAGTCTTTCCGTTTCCAGGATTGCTTCCTTGATTGCTTCTCCTTGTTTGTCAGTATGCCTAGCCTCAGGATAGTTTTCAAGGACAATGGCGATTTTGGTAGCAGTGATGTCCCTGTATGTGACTTCAATGGACGTACCAGATTCACCTACGTCTTTTACCGGCTCAGACCTTTGGGTTGAACCCCTGGTCTTCTTTGCAGGTCCTTCTGCTGAGGGTGGAGTGACCGTTGCACCTCTGGCGCGCTTGGCCCCCTTCGTCTCGACATTTGGTCCCGCAGTTGGGCGCGGTGTTCTTACCTCCTGTGGTCTTTTGGGTTTTTTTCTTTTTTTCCCTGCGCCACTTGTCTGGGTAGAATTTTTCACCTGTTCCCAGAGGTTTTGCCTTTAAGGCCTCCCTTCTTTGTGCCGTGGTGAGATTCGGTCTTTTCATCTTAAGACGACTAAGTCGCTCAGTGGTGTCATCGAGTGTCTCTGTAGATTTTGGTGTTTTAGGACAACTTAAAAAAGCTCGCCTTCTCTATCCAGTGTAGCTGGTGTATGCAGGGATTTATCCTCCATTATTTCCAGTCGAGGGAGTTGAACTTCCATCATAGTAGAAGTTTCTGGTTTTTAGAGCATCAGAGCTTCTTGTGCTCTTGGTGCACTTCGTTTCGAGAGCAGGGTCTTGTTCTAAATGAGATAAACCATGAGGTTTTGGTGGTGCAACTTCTGGAGTCGCTCTCAGGTTTGGTTTTGGTTGGCTTATTTTGTTTGAATCCATGGTGTTCCCACGAGTAGCAAGGGAATTGGAGGTCAAGCCCAGACAGAGCCCCGCATGTCCGGGTAAGGCTGATTTCTCCAGGAGGTCGCCCGGTGTCCTGGAGGCTCCGTACGCACCATCGCTGAGGAGCCAGGAGGCATTCACCTCTTCGGCGCGGGTCGCATAACACCCCTGAAGTTCGACTGAAACAGAAGCGAAAGGAAAAGAAGAAGGGAAGAAGATTTCTTCAATAGGAAAACAAAGAAGAAAGAAGGGCCTGCAAAAAGAGGAAATTTGCTGGCCTTAGAACCCAGAACGAAGAAGAGGAGAGATCTGGGGGAGGGCTAGGGTACCTCGGGGTTGCCAGCCTACAAGAGGCCTCACGTGTAGTTGACAGACAACTACCCCTGAGGGGTACTCTTGTTTAGTCTCCGAATTCGAAATACCCCTAACTTTGGCCACTGCTTCAAACAAGACAAATGAATAAAATCAATCGGCTTACACAATAGAATCAAATTATCCAAACCATTTTCGAGCTCCCTCCTATTTCACTCCATTTCTACGTCCAAACAGCACTTTACTCCATTCACGTCCATCATTTGTTAATGGACTTCAGTAGTGGTTGACGACGAGAACACAGAATGCAAGTCATATCTGGCAGGAGTGTCAATTTTCTTTCACCATGTTTTTGAATACTATGACGAGACTAATTTTCTTATAGAGGTGGGAGTCTGCTAGAATAATGATGAATGAAGTAAGGAACACGGCCTTAGGTGTCAGATTTGAACCGAGATTCAAGCAAGCCCTGCTGCTACAGGAGAACGATGGAGACCTCAATATGCGGACAACTATCTTACACAGAAATGCTGAATTGAAGTAGACACTAACAGATTTTTTAAATTTCAAACTAATTGCTGGACAATTTGTTGTTGATAGGCTACAAGCAAAAAGTATACCGGTAGTGAAGCATTTTTACAAGACGTACCATTGAAAGTAATTTGGTAAAAAATATTATACATGAGCCAATAATTTTTACTTTCTGTTGCAGGAGTTTTGGGCATGAGGTGTTGTCTGGCCAGTGTAGAATCTATAGACAACTACTTAGTCCCAGCATTAAAGGCATTGTATCTGACAGCTGGATGTGAAGATAAACGTAGGTTTGCTCATTTGTTGTGTGACCACTGGCAAGACGAAACAAAAAATCTCCAGTCTCATTTAGACAATATAATCGACTCCACAGCCTTCATTAGGGTAAGTAAACCCAAATACTGTTTTGTAATGGAGCATGTTCGACTATGACCCAGATGTTGTGTTTAATAAAATGAATATAAATATCTTAGGTTTGGCACAGAGAACAGGGCCGGATTTAGCATTTTGGCGCCCCTAGGCCCAAATAATTTTCCGCCCCCTAGTCTGGTCACAGTTACTTTCCTTCAAACCTTTATTAAAAACTATATCACGCCAATAGGCCTAAGTTAATTGCTTGAATACCACTCCTCGCCGGAATCATTGCAAGTTTTTTTTATCGATTGTTTAGCCTTAACGAAATGCCGTCTTAAACACTGTTGGCAATTTTATGCTTTTAATAAATGCTCACGTTTGTGGCCGTGCCCGTGGGACTGAAACAAAACAACACAAACCACCGAGAATTCCTGAAAAAAAAAAACATGGCCATTGATTCCAATTCCAGGCCCAAACACCTGAACTCCATACAGTATGTGATACCATAGATTAAACATAGGCTACTCCTTTAGTAGATTTGTCATAATTTTGGATTAGCTGAAAACAATTCTTGTTATTTAAGGAGTATGTTTTACCTATGTTTAAACCTAGTTTATCCAAAATAAAACGATCTAATCATCAACAATCGTCTCCTGTTTATATTACAAGAAATTAAAACACACATCATAGAACTAACCCTAAAAAATAGAAAGAAAATTAAAATAGAAAATTTACGTCAAAACTAACGCCCAGTATCACCAACATGAACTAAACTTGAACAAATTTTGAATTAACAATGTCATAAGAAGTCGACTTGAGTTATATATAATCTATGGTCGTACTGTATCTAGGTTATATTTCCAAAGCAAAACAGAGCAATACTCCTGCCAACCATACCGATCCTTAGGTCTGAGGAGAAAATGACAGCATTAATGGTGATTTGGAGGGTATTGAATGTTTTTAAAATCTAATGCAAACTGAGATTAATAATATTTTTTCGTTAAATTTAAACGTAAATTAATCGTTTTAATATTCAACACAACGTATTATATATTTTAACTTGATCCTGCAGATTGTTGTAAACTAATCAAAAGATTAGTTAATAACTTGTGTTTTGTGAAGTGAGGGTGGTAACAATGTCTAGCACGCTTGCGCCCCTAATCACTATGATCAGTAGTGCCGAGCCCGAGCCTGAGCAAGCCGAGCCAGCATAGTGGCCCAGTGCAGTGGCAATACGATGCGTTAACCCTTGGGCGCTCGTCAACGTCAACATCCCTACAGCCTACTCCCGTATAACCAATGTTCGTTAGCAATTTTGTAACGAAATTGATGCATAATTCTGAAAAATATTTTAAATTTCATAACAATAATTTCTTCTTATGAAATTCGGAAGTTTTTTTTATCAACTATGACTATTTATTTTTATTTTTAGATAGCCTATAAAAAAAATTCCTCTTGGCCTTGCGCCCTCTGGGACCTTGCGCCCATAGGCCCGGGCCTACCGGGCCTATTGGGAAATCCGGCCCTGACAGAGAAGTAAGATACAGAGGAAACAAGCTTGTGGGACAATTGTGGGCTTTTAGCTCTGGTAAGGTTGGGTGGAAATTTACTCGTACCGAGCAAGAAAGAGCCCAAACAGCAATGGCCACACAGAAATTTAGTACAGCAGGGTAGCTTGATACAGCGGATGACAGGCACTTCCTTCAGCGTGAGTGCTGTGTAGTAAACGGTGGCGAATGGGGAAAGGAGAGTGGAAGGGGACGATGAATAGAATTTGCTCTAGACACCAGCGACTGTGCTAGACACCACGTAAGTGTACCATTGAATTTATCCTCTGTATCTTACTCCTCTGCAGGCTTGGCTGAATAATGTTTGAAAACAACAAACCTTTTAATAAAAAATGTTATTACGTAAATCTGTGATACGGTTAGCTTCAGTAGGGTGCTGGGATGTTTCCAGGGGTCTGAAGTCGGTCGTAGAGTTGAGAAAAAGGGATAGATAGCTCAGATCAATCCCAACGGGAACGTACAGTTCTGGTATAAGCTATTAACCAGTTTATGATATGTTCATCATCACCATCTAGGGATTGCTCGGATATCTCTAGCGGGACTGAGTACTGCTCGGATTTCTCTAGCATGACTGGGTACTACTCGGATTTCTCTAGTATGACTGGGTACTGCTCGGATTTCTCTAGCAGGACTGGGTACTGCTCGGATTTCTCTAGCAGGACGGGGTACTGCTCGGATTTATATTTCTCTCACAGGACTGGGTACTGCTCGGATTTCTCTAGCAGGAAAAGGTAGGGCTCGGATTTCTCTAGTGGGAGCGGGTACTGCTCGGATTTCTCTAGCAGGAGTGGGTACTGCTCGGATTTCTCTAGCAGGAGAGGGTACTGCTCGGATTTCTCTAGCAGGAGTGGGTACTGCTCGGATTTCTCTAGAAGGACTGGGTACTGCTCGGATTTATCTAGAAGGACTGGGTACTGCTCGGATTTCTCTAGCAGGAAAAGGTAGGGCTCGGATTTCTCTAGCGGGAGCGGGTACTGCTCGGATTTCTCTAGCAGGAGTAGGTACTGCTCGGTTTTCTCTAGAAGGACTGGGTATTGCTCGGATTTCTCTAGCAGGAAAAGGTAGGGCTCGGATTTCTCTAGCGGGAGCAGGTACTGCTCGGATTTCTCTAGCAGGAGTGGGTACTGCTCGGATTTCTCTAGCAGGAGTGGGTACTGCTCGGATTTCTCTAGCGGGACTGGGTACTGCTCGGATTTCTCTAGCAGGAATAGGCCTCGCTAATATTCACCAGACCTTGTAGAGTTGGCGATTCGTCGGGGAGTGGGAGCGAGGACCTTCTCGTTCAGATGCCCGTGATCGACTGACTCGTGGACTCCTCTGCGCCTCCTTATATAGGTTCCGCTCTACTCCTGGTCCGCTGTACACTGGTTCCTCTGTACTCTTGTTTCACTTGGTCCGCTGGACTCTATATCCTCTGGACTCGTTATCTGCTGGACTCTTGGTCTGTTGTAATCCTGTTAAGGCACACTTTGTGTTGAGGGACCTCACAAATCAAAATAATTAATGTCTTTTAACTTTTCTAAGATATGTATGCCTGCTTCAAGGTAATATTCTCTGATTAGTATGTGGTCTGTCTAATAGAGTGTTGACCCACAATACAAAGTCTTCTTTTATTTAAAACCAGCTATATTATATCCATTTTATCCCCTCTCAGTGTACACTAAATCTATTTTTTCAACAATTCAATAAAATCTGGCTGATGATAATGATTTAGTTTCCATTTTTTTCATGATTCTCCGAATTTCTGCCTCTTAAATAGGTGCAATACCTGCTTTAGGACATGGATTTTTAAATAGTGAACTATTCAATGATATGAAATGGGAGGTTAGAGAGATTAAAGATGTGTGACAATGCAGACACACCAGGGTGCAAGTTTTGATGCAAAGATAAGTGAACAATAAGTATTGAATGAATGAGCATTGTTACTTACGAAGATCAGTTGCTTCTTTAGCCAGAATCGTAAAAATTGTCATCCAACTAAAGCTTAAGATTTGGTAGGATGGGCAAATCAATATGTTTGTTGTTGGTGTTGTAGGTGGTGCAAGAGAGTGTGAATGATCTTAGCCAACAACTGTGCAGAGGAGAGACTAAGGAGGAAGTTGGCAGAGCAATAGTCAAGCAGAGCTGGCTGTTGTACAAGCATCTCTCTGGTTCTGGATTGTCACTTGATTTAACTCAGCTGAAGCAATGTAGGTTTGCTTGCTAAAATAATTTAACTAAGCTATATGAATTCTGATAACTACAAGAGATGATCTCTAAAAGATATAAAGAAAAGAAATTAAAAAAAATTAAAAAATTTTATGTCAACACTATTTTTGGTAAAATGTATAAGTTGAGTATCGAGTTAACTTAATTAGTATGTTTCCTTTTGTAGGCGTGAGTGAGTTTGAGGCTGCAGTCAACTGTGAGGTTTCACTTGCTGCGGTTGTCAAGAGAGCGAGACTGGTCTTGTCCGCTATAGACAAGATAGCCGACTCTCAGAACAACACACAACCATGTTACCAGCAGCCTTTAGATGAGAACACTAACCCAGGTGCTGTTCTTAGCAATCGAATAAATTAATTTGTTGAAGCTTGGAATAGAGATCTGCTGTAGATTTATTAAAAAGTCAAAAGGTTACAGTAGACTTCCTCTCATACGGAAACCTTATCCAAACTAAAAGACGCCAGAACCATCAGAATTATGCGAAAATGAATTGATGCATAGCTAAGGCCAGGGACACACTTACCGGCGAAACCGCCGAGCGCCGGATCCGCCGTAGGTTGAGGGTCAGAACACACTTGTTCCGGCAAAAACTTGAGCCGGCGACAATAAATAGAGTGCAATGAGTTTTGTCTTACACTAGTACAGTTCTAGTACATTTAGTCTTAGAAATGGTGCTGTCAAGACCTCAAAAGTTGGCCTTCCTGTGTTTGATCCACCACAGAAGAAAGAGAAAACACCACCGAACTGTTTGGGTACATCATATTCTGGAGAACAGACCGCTACTTGGAGCTTTTTACACTCAATTTTTACAGTTGAGAAATGGAGAAAATAAGTGTTTTAATTACTTTTGAATGTCTGTCCCCTCATTCGACGAGCTACTATCGAAGATTACAGTGCAAATACAAGGTCAAAACACATACATGACGCTGGAAAGGCTGGATTCAGTGCGGCACAAATTTGTCGCCAGCTGCTGTCCCTCGTTTTGTTTTTGTCTATGTAAACTTCCAAAGACCTATCACAAAGTTCTGGTTTCTCATGAACCAAACTAATAAGTAAATCCATATCAACATCTACCATGATAACTAAACACCATACCATAGAAAACTAAACAGAATAAAAATAAAAACTAAACTAACTAAATAGCAAAACAAAACTAAATACACTACTTGGACAATGCATTAAAATCATTAGCAATCACCACCCTCAAGGGTTGAACCACGACTGAGGAGTGGGGGAAGTGGCAGTCCGGCTGTTTCGCCGATAAGTGTGTTCATCTCCATAAGGCACAATGCCCCGCTACCCACTGCTCCGGCGAAACTGCCGATCCGGCGGTCCGGCGAGGCAGAGAATATCCGGCGGTTTCGCCGGAGCATTTTCCCGCCGGATCGGCAGATTCGCCGAACCAGAGAAGTGTGGCCTGCCCCATGCCTTCCTGTGTATCTCACCTTGCTCCGACGCCGCCGGATCCGGCGTCCGGCGGTTTCGCCGGTAAGTGTGTCCCTGGCCTAATTCTCACATGATATGCACAAAATTATCAAATCAGTTACTATCACAAAGTGCGGTGCTTGTTTGCAAGTGTTTGTTGATTTGCTATTTCAATAACCACACAGAAGCAAAAAATGTGGACTTGAGATAAAAAGAATTACATATTTAAAATTACAAAGGTTGGCAACACTTACAGTTACAAGCGATTAAATGTGTGGCATACTGCCTGTGTTGGCATCGGTGCAGTCAGAATGTTTTTGTGTTTTCTGAAAATATTAGTTTTTGTCACTTGCAATGTTGTTTGGCGGAGCTATTCAATTGATGATCATTTTTAATGATGGGTACTCTTCTAGTAAGATAAGCCTAATGTCCATTCTATCTACAGTAGACCCCCTCTTAACTGACCCTAATGGGACCTAGGTCGGATAGCTCAAAAGGTCGGTTAAAACGGGTAATACCTAAAAAAAACAAGAAAATTAAGTGCTATTCATTTAATATTGTATAATCATTATTTTGAAGTAATAGTTGCATTATTTATAAAATAAACAATAAACTACACTTATCTCCTTTTTTCGTACACTAATAAACAAAAAAACACGGTTAAGTCAAATACTTTCAGTAGGGATAATAAATAGTTGTATAAGACAAATAATAGTTGTAGACAAGAATCAATAAAAAATGTTATTTTGCTGTACTGTAATAACTTTAGTACGTTCTGTTAATTGATGCTTTCAAAATACAGTACAGTATATCGTAATACAGTACAGAGCTCTTTGTCAAAATTAAAAATACAAGAAACATGTTGTTACGAGACAGAATGTTTATTTATAGCCTCTCACTGGAAGCTGAGTCACAAGAACAATCTTGACCTTGGAGTCGTTAACCCTCTCCCTTTCCCGCCCCTACAAGTTGCGTTGTTTCTTTACTCACGCGATAAGATAATTTTGGAATATATTACAAAAAATAGCAGCTGTTTTCAGACACATTAAGTAACTAGTCAAAATATTTTGTTTACATACCAATTTTTCTTTGTACGGACGATCTCGCTGATTTGCTTTGGTTTGACACACTGAAGAAGATCCACCAGGAAACTTAATAAAAAACACCTTCAATTTTTTACACACTATTACTGTATTGAATTGAAACACACACACACTACTTTACAGTAATACAAAAAATAAACCAGCAATACAATAAACCATTGATAAAAATTAGTGATTTCTTTTTCACTGAAGCTTACTTGATTTTTTTTGTCTATAGTAATACATTTACATTACACTCTCCATATTATTGAATTAAAACACACAAACTTAAGAGATGAAACAATATTTTCAATCAAACCAATGATAAAAAAGAACAGTTTTAATCACTTAAGCTTACTTTAAAAAGTTTAAAGGTTACTTTTAAAGTAAATTTTTTTTCTGTGTTTCATTGTCCAGTGTCTGCTTTAAGGCATACTCTGGCAATTTTTTAATAAACATTACATCTGCAGCACTTGATACTTTTTGTTGTTCAACATAACTTGCAGCTAGAGTAAATGCCTTTCTTGCCTCGGAATGACTAATTTTTGATTCCTGATCTAAATCTTCGACTTCATCTTCTTCTTCCTCATTGTTCTCTTGACGTGTGACCGCGGTAATGATTCCTTCGTCTGTCATCATATTGTTCCCCAGCTCGTCGTTAGCGTGAACAATCCATTGTTGAACATCTTCTGCTTCTATGACGTAATCACCACCTGTCAATGTTTGAAGATCCTCCAATAATAATTGTTCACTTGGGTCGATCTCTTGTTGGCGAACTTCTGCTGATGGATTATCATCCATGTTGTTTAATACCGCTTCTTCTACTTCAGGCCGCAGTTTTCTACATGACTTTACGATTGTAGTGCTTTGAAGTTCTGCATACGACTTAGCCACCATGTAAATGACGTCCTTTATATTGATTGTTTTTAAGACATCAACAAGTCCTTTACTGTGAAATTCCATCCTGTTCAAAATTTCAGAAAGTAACTTTTTCTTGTATCGTCTCTTGAAACTCTCGATTACACCTTGGTCCATAGGTTGGACAATGCTGGTAACGTTCGGAGGAAGAAAATAGCATTTTATTCCACTGTCTTCCTCGCATTCAATGCCTTCTACATGACTGGTATTATTGTCCTTAGCAAAATTGCCTTTATTGGCATTTTCAGGCTAGTCAAATGTTTTTTCACGCCGGGAACAAATTCGTTGATAAACCAGTCCTTAAAAATTTACTCATCTATCCAAGCAGATCGCTGCGCTTTGTAACAAACTGGAAGAGCATTTACGTTTATGTTTTTGAATGTTCTTGGCTTTTGATATTTGCCAATCACAAGGGGAGGTAGTTTGTGGGTTCCAGCCTCATTAGAAAATAGGGCAACTGTTACCCTCTCTTTGTTCATTTTGAAACCGGCAGCCGATTTTTCATTGCTGGTGGCGAATGTTTTATCTGGCAGACGTTCAAAATTTAATCCAGTTTCATCCGGGTTATATTTTTGTTCTGGATGCAAACCCTCCTCCTCAATATACTCCTTGAATTGTGTAAAAAATTCACTAGCTCTAGTAGGATCCGCCGACAACTTTTTACCGCAAACAGATAAAAAGTGGACGCCATGTCTTTTTTTCCACCTGTCGAACCAGCCGTTAATGGCAGTGAAACTGCCGCCGTTTTCAATCTTAGAATGAAGCATGGTTTCTTTTTCCTTTAAAATCGGGCCACTTAATGGGGTTCCTTTACGCCTTTCTTGTGTGAACCACAACCGCAACGCGTCATCTACAAGATCATTTGTTGGTTTTTTTAATGTACGCCAAGTCGCCAACGCCGTGCCAGATTCTATTTGAGTACAAAACTCTTGTAAAGATTTCCTGTTACGACACCAGTCTTTGACAGTTGTTGTTCCAACACCCAGCTCGTCACTAATTTGTTTCACAGATGCACCTTTGTCAAGACGGTCCAATGCACTTAGTTTCTGTTCCACAGTAACAACGTTCCGTTTTTGTTTTGCCGATGCCATTTTGTTATTTGGAAATCCTAGTTTACTGTATTTGATAAAAACACTTTACTGTATTTTAAAACGACTATTTTTACATTGTAATTAAACGGTCTGATTATTATTAAATAAACTAAACAGCTAGACACACACTTCCACGCACTTTACAATATTACTGTATAATATTTTCCGCAGAGAAAAAATTAGATGTGCTCACAAGACGAACGATGATGACAAACTGGCAATATGCAATATTGTTCGGGATAGCTACAAAATACTTATTGTTAGTTACATCCTGTGGAGATAAGCGAATGTTCCCATAGCCGAGCATGGGTGCGGAAATGCCGAAATTCCTGGAAAGCGGCGGTTAAACTGAGCTGCTCTCAAAGCAAGGTCGGTTAAAACAAACTGTAACATTTTAGGATCGAGGGCGGATAATCCGATTGTCGGTTAATGCGAGGTCAATTAAGAGGGGTCTACTGTACCTCAAAATTCTCTTAGCATTATAACAGTGCAATAAAAATAATAACCTTTATTGTAAACACATAAACATGTATAAACATTTTACAATGAAATAGGGTTTGTCATTTTGATAATTATTGTTACATATTACAACCATAATAACAATAAAAAAAGTAATGATATGATATATAATTAAATACCGTATATCAAAGAAAAAAATATCAACACTAATTTAATTAAAAAGTAAAATAAGCTTGCCTAGTTTAGAATCTGCTAATAGCAATTACATAATGAATGACTAGATACAAAATTAAAAAGTAAAATAATAAAATAGCATTTGTGAAAAACTATACTTATTTAGGCCTATCTGTAATATTCATGCCAATTAAAATAACTATCAAGCAAATAAATACCATCCAAAGAAAAAATATACTGTCTACACACTCTCGTCTTGCAATATTCCATGCAATTTTATAACTTACTAGCTGTAACCCGCGGGCTTTGCCCCGTTTAACTTCTTAATTTTCAAGATGATCTCGTTCGCATGGCTCAATCACGTCCTGGTTGAAGTTCGTTCGATACGCTCACTCACCTTTAAGTTGGAGCTCGTTCGCTACGCTCACTCACCTTTGGGTTGGAGCTCGTTCGCTGCGCTCACTTGCCTTCAGGTTAGCTCGTTCGCTACGCTCACTTGCCTTCAGGTTAGCTCGTTCACTACGCTAACTCGCCTCCAGGTTGAAGTTCGTTCGCTATGCTCACTCACCTTTTGGTTGCAAATTAGCTGTTGTCATAAATGTAAAAGAAATAATAGTGCTGCACCCTGTTGGTAATCCTTGTAACTTTAATGCTATTGGACATCATAGAACAGAACCAACTTGTTTAATTGAAACAGCTGTTAAGATTCATTAATTCCATTTCTCATAAGGTTAACATGGGAATCTCCAGAGCCACTGGGGCGGAGCCACTGGGGCGGAGCCGATTGGACGGATCACGAAATTGATGGTGTATAAACCTATCCCATGAAATTCTACACGTATGTACCAAGTTTCGTGGCAATCGGTTCAGCGGTGTCTGAGTTTATCACTGCCAAATATATATATATATATACAAACATCCTCTTTTATACTTATAGATAGCCTACAAACATTTTGGTAAGCTGCAATTATTATATAATTTTTGAACTTTTGGGCTTCGTCCAAAAAAACATACTCAATTAAAACAATTTCCTTTACATCTCATACCATGCAATTATTTCAGAACCTTCACAAATGGTCAGGAGTATTAGAGATCTCCCTCTTGATATATCATTATCAACTTCAAAATCTCAGCATGCTTCTTACAGACCACCATGTGAGTACATTCTCATTATATGTTAACATTTCTACAAAAATATTATGTAAACGTAAATATTTCTTTTTATGGTATAAGTGTTAAGATACTTTCTGCATGATTGCTGCATACTATAGCATGGCACATAATTAAATATTTTTACCATTTTTGTTTTCTGATTCACACTTATGCAAAAATGTGTATATCAGGACCACGTCACCAGTGGTGTAGTTGTAAAAATCTTCTAGTGCAGGAACGCTCACCATTGTCAAGTAAAAATAAGTGTCATTTACCAATGTATAGGTACTGGTACTTTGGAAAGAAAACATAGTATAGTGGGAATGCTGTTCCTGCCTCACTACACCACTGCATATAATACAGACTCCCTACATGATGAGGGATACTACCAATTAGGTATATTCATAGCAAAACAAAAATAAAAATACATTTTCAGAAAATTATACACAATTATAAAACTTTAAAAGATGTCTGCTTATTACAGAAATTTAACGAGTATTCAATACTCAATCCAAAAATCTGGTTTGAGGTTTTTGCAATTTCACTTTGTGTTGGCTCTCTGATTAGTCTTGACTAATTGTATTTATATCGATTATACTACCAATAAAAACTTTTCCTAATCTTAGATGAATTTTAATGAGCTGTCTGCATCAAGTTGATCCATTTAATGAGATTATGCTGTTAAAAACTGACAACATTACTTTTATTGACTATTGATACAATAAATGGATTTTTTTGTTACACTTTAGGGTTGCAGAGAAAAATCAATGACCTGAAAGAGAAGACACGAGTAAAATCAGACAACATAAAATTAAAAGAAGAAAAAGATGCATTTTCTGCGAGAAGCGTAGTTGAAAATTGTATCACCCCCGATCACAAAGCTAAAATAAGTAATTTTCAGACACCAAAAAATACAGTGGATAGTGATGAGAACTTGTTGACTCCTTTTTTGAAGAAAACCACAGAGAGGAATGCCACTCTGTACCAGAGAACACCTCGCAGAGTTGTCCAGAACCAGATGTTGGACAGTCTGAGTCCAGCCTCGCAATGTAGCTGGTCTGTTGGCCACCCTGCCAGTCTAGTATTGGATATCTCAGGTACATCATAAAAATATCGTCGTTAGTTTACATCAAAACTTGCATTTAACAAAAGATCGCCAACTTTTCACATTTTGAGAAAAATTAGTACTATTTGTCATGAGCCATTGAGCACAAGTATGCCTACTGTTGGACATTAAAATTTAATTAAAATAAAAATTATTTCGGGTGGATTTTGGCAATTGTTAAAAAAGTTATCTGGCCACTTACATAAATTCACGAACTATTAACATTTTTTTCTTAGTCATCAAAATTTATGTAGGTATAATTCCCGATTGTCAGGTTGGCTGGACACCCTGGACACTTTTAGGTCAGTTGGTTTGTATGCTGAATGCTGATGTTTATGAACTGTATCTTTGTGCAGTAACCAATCATATGGACTATTGCTTATCCAACCTTTAAAGTGTTTACAATATTCTCTTGTCTCCTTATAGAAATTCTGGACAGCTTGAGTGAGCTTGCTGACACTTTTTCATCCATAAAAGAAGCAGAAGCGATCAGCTGGCAACAGCCTCAGCCGACCCCAGCGTCAGACGCCATGCACAAGTACTTCTCTGGCAACTCCTTAGACAGTCAATGGTTCTCTTTGGCCTCTGTCAGGACTGATGAAGTGTCTGCTGATGTGGAAACTCCTGAGAGGCTACTAGACCTTCAACGAGTGGACGAGAAAATACGCAACCTTAAGTTATCATGACCAAACTGTGATCATAGACTAAGGAAACAAAGCAGACGGGCAGCAGTCGTTGCGCGTGTGTTAGTTCATGATGCGTGTATCAGGCAGCGCCACTGTTGATGATGCAAAAGATCTCCTTTACCGACGCGAGTATGACGAACGGTGTTCTCCTACTAAATTACTTACATTTTTAGATTGAAATTTACATATTTATAATCTGCAAATGTTACAAAACAGATATAAATCTGGATTTAAACTAAAAATCATAAACATTTCAGTTGAATAGGTGTGAGAAAGGATTGGATAAGCAGGCTTACCTTAAGAAATGTAGACATCCCACTTCATTCACTACAGAACACAGAAGAAAACACAAAACAAAATAAGTTGGATAATAGTTTTAAAATACATGAGTAGTGAATTCATGAAGACATAGACCTAAATGACATTGCAAGCGTGGAATTTTATTTGATGTTCATGATAGAAAAATATTTTTTTTAATAAATGTAGATAAATAGCTACTTAAATACTCTAAAACAAAAAATCTTCTATTAACTGGCATAAAATATCTAATTCCACATTGTAAAAAGCAAGCGTACAGTCCTAGCAATGTAAAATTAATTTTAGTTTGCGATTGTAGCTGTTGTTGTATTGTTAATTAGGCCTAAAGCTTCGTTTGATAATTCAAAACGGTTCATTTGTTTAACTCATGTTTTGTTATTTGTTTACTTCAATGTACACATATTAAACATACACTTCAAAAATTTTGAAACTGCATATTATTCCTTTATACACAAAATAAAAGGGTATTTACTCAGGGGAGGTATAGATGAGGTTACGATGACAGCTGTGGGTTCTCATTAGCAGAGGGAACACCATTACCGTAACAATACGGTCTTCAGCCATCGGCCTCGGTGGTCTAGTGGATAGCGTGCCGGGCTAATATGCTGTGAGCCCCGGGTTCGAAACCCGCTGGTGGCACTAACTTTTTGACTAAGATTTTTTCATTATCAGCACGTTTGGTTGGTTTGGTTCGGTTATGACAGTTTAATTTTATTATTAAGTCATTATAAAATTTTAATTGAGCAATTTCTAGTTTTATTTATTGAACAGAATTATTTTTTCTATTAATAAACTTTTTTATATTATTTCATTATCAGCAAGTTTGGTTAGTTCGGTTAGGTTATGATAGTAATTTTATAATAAAAGAATTATAACATTGAATTTGAGGCATTTATAATTTTATTTTATGAACAGAAATATTTTTGCGATTAGTAAACCTTCATTGCCAAAATGCTCTCTACTACAGCGCTGTTCACGGAGGAATTTTGAACGAATGCCTCAATCGTACCTCCCTTAAGTCAGACCCAAATAAAAGAACCCTACTGTTAAGTTTATTTTTATAAATGTAAATCAATAGCCTATGTTGTAAATAAATAACTCTCAATCTGGTAAAAAAATATGTTTTATAATAATATTTGACTAAAGAATAAAAAACTTTGACAGTTATACCAAGGCCCCACTAGAAAAAGTTTTTTCTAGTTATTTTTAATATAACTTGGTATGTATTTCAAAAATTTTGATCTATTATAGGTTGTTTTCTTTTCAAAAAAATTCAATTGATGCTGATCAGTCTGGATTTCATATCCGTATTGTAGAGTGTGTTTTGTTGTTTAAAGTTACTTTTTCAGGGTTGGATTTTACGTAGATGATTGATCATAAATGTACTGCCCACTAGTATGAATGTATCATAAATGTACTCGTGGATAGATTCACTGTCATATCCCATATGTTTTTGGTAAATAATCTGGCTGTTTACGTCTGGCAACTTAAGTACAACTATTCACCACTGTGACGTAGTGTTGCGCTGCCCGTGCTGCAGCATGGCCTGTTTGCTGGTAAGCTTAAAATGAAAATATTTCATTTTCTTTCATTTTATAGTCAAAACTTAAGATGCAAATGTGTAAGGTCGAATTACCACTTTGCAATTGATGTGTTCACTACAGCATATTTAAAAAAAGCCTTCTATTACAGACAAGAAAACTTCAAACATAGTAGTGTATTTAATCAGTATTAACATTAATATTTATCAAATTAAAATATTCTTTACATCCTTGGTAAACAGGTCTATTATAATTAGTATACATGTATAATAACTTGGAGGATAGTGTTTTTGGCCTGTGGGTATATCCAAATGGAAAAGTAAATTGATCCTTTGTTTAGGTCTTGCTATGGCACAAACAGAAATTGGTTCTTTCATATAGGGGGAAAAATCTAAGCTCAAAACCAAACAATTTGATCTTTTAAATGCAAGACTAAAGTGATGAATAAAACAATTTATTTACATAAAACTTTATTGATAATAAATAACATTGAAGTAAAAATATAAACAAAATCACAGATGCATGTTTTCTATTTTAAGTATACCAAACCTTTTTAAAATTGTCAATATAAAAATAGCTTTGAGCACTCTCTACATACAATATTTTTAATATTCCGTTACATTCTTGCGTTCATTTAAACATTTGTTATCGCTACGTTCATGCATTATATGACAAATCATGGCTATTAATTTATTTCTAACTTACAAAAAGTCGTATTGATTAGGATAAAGTAGTTTCTAATTTCAATCAACTACGATAGGCTAATATTAACATTTTCACAAAGCTTTAGAGGTGTGAATGTCCTACAGAGGATGCTGTGGATTTTGTATCCACATGAGAAGGACTCTGTTTCACATGCACAATGTAGTAAGACTAATCTTTAATACAAACATCTTGTTGGGGAGTAAAAGTTACTCTGCAATACAGTACTAACAGTGAATGAATGGATGATATTTATTGAAGTTTACAGGGTTTAGGCTACTGGTGCTTTGTCATGAATAAAACCGTTTTTAGGTGAATCTCTACTAAAGGCAATTTTATAGAGGTGTCCAGCCGAACTAGATACCGAGAATACCAGGAATTGTAATTGAGTTTTTATGACTTGAACCAGAGGTGCCCATCCCCCCCAAACCCAGAGGCGCAACCCCCCCCCCAAGCCAAAGGAGTAGTTCTCCCCCCCCCAATTTATGCTGCCGTCTATTTAAACCTACCCTCCCCCCACCAATTTATCTGACAATTTTCCCTTTACCTCATAAAACGATCATTCCAATTTAGTATTTAGTAAACTTGAGGTAAAGAAAAACAAACTTGCTGATAACAAAATTTAAATGTTTAATAGGAAACGAACAACATTTAACAATACTTCATTAGGTATATCTAACTAATGGACGAATTAGAAGTGTTTCAATTTACATTTCAGAATCTCTATTGTCAGCTAACATGTGTTCAGTATTGCAATAGACAACGTCTTCAAAACGTACAACAATATACTAGGTGAATTACTCTACTCCAACACAGTATTGTAACTGTACAATATATTAGGTGGCATTAAATTTTACTAGGGATGGACGAGATTGGATTTTTAGTTCGAGACGAGACGAGACAAGATTTTTTATTTCTCATAAAATTTCGAGACGAGATCGAGACGGGATTTCCCTTCTCATACGCAACGGGAAATGCACGTTCAAAATTTTTACCTGATTTTGTAACATTGTTAGATGACTGTTTAAATACAAAAATAATGATAATAGGCAAGAATATTTACAATCTTTTATTAAAAAACATCAGCATAACATTTTTTTATTAATCACGCCTAACTTATTAAAAATGCCTACGATTAGGAAACATAGTGATATCAGTTAGGATAGAGTTCAACTTATCCTAAAATAAAATAAATCATAAAATAAAAGCAATATTAATTTTTATAAAATAGTTACTTGTTTTGACTTTTTATAGTAATTAAACATTCCTCACACTGCTTACACTTAACAAAACTTCTCAAATGTTATTAAAGTAATATTATTAAAATAATTAAAGTAATATTTACATTTAAAGAATTAATTAAATAAGAACGCCTTCGCAAAGGAAACGCAACTACAACACGCTCGTGTATTGCGGGTATTGCATTGACTTTCTGCAGGCGTTTTTAATTTTTTTTTTTTTTTTTTTATTCTCGTCTCGATAAAAATCTCGGCCAAAAATAAATCTCGTCTCGTGTAACGAGATTTAAAATTTCCCGAAAATTTCCCGAAATTTCGAGACTTGACCATCCCTAAATTTTACAGAGAAAGAATCTCAGAGAAGAATTTTAAGAAATCAAACCGCTTTAAAAATACATTAATAATACTTTGGCAAAGTTTTTTTTTTTTTCAAAATTATAGGCAGTCACGAAATAAGACAGACTTGTTGCTCGCCACTCCCTGGCTCTACAAACACCGCCACTCCAAACAACACACTCCAAAAACTCGATTTTACTCTACAAAAATCGCCAGGCAAAATACCCACAAAAGGTTTTTGTGACGAAGTAATCTTATAATTAATTTTGATAGCCCCAGGATTGCCTTTTATGACTAATAATGGTAGAAACGCATCTTGTCAGACAATCTGTTTATACACAAAACACGAAACGATAACAGATAGGCCTATCAATTCACGTGAGTATATTGCCGCGGGCAGGACTGGAAGTAAACTGAATCAGGTTATGACGGAAAGACGTGGTCTCTGGATTGTCGTCTGTGTTATCAAAAGCTGATATTGGACTAGTTGTAGTGACGGAGGAGAGTGTTGAAAATATAATGGGATTCATAATTGAGTTTTCCATTTAAAATTATTGAAAATAATAACCAATTTATCTGCTGGATATAAATTATGGTCTCGAAATTCTACAGTAGTGCACTAAAGGAAATTTATTAAATACTTTGAGGAGTTTGAAATATATAAATACATAAAACTAGGGACAGCGCAAAAGTTTTGAGTGAAAGTGAAAACACTCAATTAATTATGAATCCCATTATACTTTTAACACTCTTCTCAGTCACTACAATAGTCCTATATCAGCTGGTGACAATGCAGACGACAATCCAGAGACCACGTCTGTCTGTCATAACCTGAACCTGATTCAGTTTACTTCCAGTTCTGACGACGGCAATATATACGCGTGAATTGATAGGCCTATCTGTAATCGTTTTGTGTGGTGGAGGTAAAGAACCACCAAAACATATGTAGCAAATAAAATTCGACACTGACACTGGTATATTAAGGATTGTCTGACAAGGTGCGTTTTTACCATTCTTAGAAGCAAATCTTAATTACGAATGGCAAAATGTTGTTGGTGTTGATAGTGAGCTACTTAGAAACAATTTTTCGGGCTGCTTATACAAAATTTTTCATTCATTATGACAGCTAGCAAAAAACATCCCCCCCAAAATCCCCTCAAAAAAGTCCCCCCCAAAAATTCCTGT